AAAATATTCCATGTGCAATTGAGAAAAGTTTATTTTAGTTGTGTTGGCTAGCATGTTCTTTTGGGTCTAATTGGTTTGTATTGTTGTTCAAATCCTCCATTTGTTATTGATCTTCTATCTGGTTGTTCTGTTCATTATTGGAATTAGCATATTAAAGTTTCCAACTGTTACATTTCTCCATTCAGATCTGTCAGTGTTTCATATGTATCGAGGTTCTTTTCTTTGGTGAATATGTTTGTAATTGTTACATCTTCTTGATGAATTGACCTTTTATCAGTATATTTTGTCTTTCTTTGTCTCTTGTAACAGTTTTGTCTGATACTAGTTCTCTCTTGGTTACTATTTGCATAGAATATCTTTTTCTGTCCTCTTATTTTCAATTTAAATGTGTCGTTAGCATGGTAGAGTCTTGTAGATAGCATATAGGTAGGATATAGTTGGATCTTTCATATGTTTTTTTTCCTGCTAATCTCTGCCTTTGGAGAGTTTAATTTATTTACATTTAATGTAATTACTGTTAAGGTGGGGTTTACTGCTGACATTTTGCTACTTGTTTTCTGTATGTCTTACAGAGTTTTTGGTCTCATTTTCTCCATTATTGCCTTCTTTTGTGTTTAGTTGGTTTTTCATAGTGACATGCTTTCCTTCTGTTTTGCAAATATTCTGTAGGTATTTTCTTTGTGATTTTTTTTTTTAGTCTAATTGTGTAGCTTTTAGTCTTTTAAGGAAGTTGACATTTCATCTGAGTTGTCACATTTATTGGCATAAACTGGTTTGTAACATTCCCTCAATACCTCGTAAACCTCTGTACACAGTCGGTAATTGATGTGATCGTTCTTACTGTTTTTAATGGTAATTTTTGTCTTTTCTGTCTTTCCAGTTTGGTTAGAAGTTTATCAGTTTTGTTGATTTTCCTTATAGCATCAACTTTTTGTTTCATTGATTTTTAAAAATTGTTTTTACAGGTTTGATTTTTATCAGTTTTTGATTTGAACTTTATTTCTATTCTTCTGCTTGCTTTGGATTTAATTTGTCTGCATTTTAAATTGTCTTAGTTTGTTTGGAAGGTGAGGTTATTGAGCTGAGGTCATTTTTTCTTTTCTAGTGTGGCCACTTAGTGCTGTAAATTTTTCTGCAAATGTTGCTGCAGTGACAGTGCACAGATTCTGATATGTTGTGTTTTTCTTTTCATTCAAAATTCTTCCTAATTTTCCTTTGAGCAATTTGATGATGGTGTTCCTTACTGCAGTTTTCTTCATGTTTGTGACTGGGGTTTATTGAGCTTTTTTGATCTGTGGGTTATACTTTTAATTTGAAAAATTTGGGGCCATTTTTTTTTTCAGATATATCTTTTGTCCTTTTTTTCTTTTTTGCTTGCCTATTAGACCACTTGAAGTTATCCCACATTAATTACTCTGTCTTTGTTTTTGAATAGTTTCTGTTGCTATTTCTTCATATTACTTACATTTTCTTGTGCATTGTCTAATCTGATGTTAATCCCATTCTGTGTATTTTAAAGTCTGAAACATTGTCATTTTCATATCTACATACTTGATAAGGAGTTTTTAAAAAAATCCTTCGCATGTCTACATAACTTTTTGAACATGTGGTGTACAGTTATAATTGTTTCTAATATCCTTGTTTTTAATATGCTAGTTGTAACATCTGTATCAGTTCTGAGTTGGTTTCTGTTGACTGCTTTTTATTCTTTCAGTAAGGCAGGTGATTCCATTGATAGGTCCTGGTTTCTCATTCACATGTGTCTCTTTATGGTGCAGTTGTTATCTGATAAATTTTCATGCCTCACTTCTTGTTTCAAAGGTTTTACTGATTGTATGATCTAGTTTTAACTGAGATAGGCAAGTGGGCCTAAAAAAGATTCCTGCAAAGGAACAGAATTGACTGTTGTATTAAAAATGCAGGCCCAAATGAACAAGTAGAGAAAAGCTGAAATGACAGTTCTGTCAGATATTGTGATTTATAATAAGAAATATATATATTTGGTTCCTGGCATAGAGCTCCTAAAACCCTTGGATTTTCTTAAGTGATAAGAGAAAAGAACTGTCTTTTATTTTTCATAGCAAGCCTTTTTCAGTTACACCTGAGTTTATGTTAACGACATGACTTCTGCAAAGCCCTTAGCGTAGAATCTGGTTGCCAGGGGAACCAGCCATGTATCAAGGTTTGGAAGTTTCAGCCCTTTCATACCTCCCGAGAGGGCTGGAGATTTTGTTTAATCACTAAAGGCAAGTGATTTAATCAGTCATTATATACATAAGGAACCTCCTTAAAAATCCTAAACCAAGATTCAAAGGGTTCCACGTTGGTGAGCACAGAGAGGTACTGGGAGGGTGGATGCTTGGAGAGGGCACAGAAGCTCTGGCTCCCTTCCCCATACCTTGCCCTGTATATCTCTTCCATCTGGCTGTCCTTGGGTTGTGTCCTTTTCTAATAAAATGATAATCTAGTAAGTAAATTGTTCTCCTTAGTTCTGTAGGCTACTGCCACAAATTAATCAAATTGAGGGAGGGGATTGTGGGAACCTCTCATTTGTAGTCAGTTGGCCAGAAGCACAGATAACAACCTGCACTTGAGATTGGCATCCAAAGTGGGGCCGGAGGGGCATCCTTGTGGGACTGAGCCCTTACCTGTGGGATCTGTCTCTAATTTGAGGTGGATGGTGTCAGTTGTAGGACGCCCAGCTGGTGTCCCTGGAGAGTCAAAGAATTGGTTGTTGTGGGGAAAACCCTACATATTGGGTCACAGAAGTGTTCAGTTTTATAGTAGAGCAGAGGAAAAACACAGGAGTGTTTTATCTAGACATTCTGCTTCTTTTATGAGCTCCTTGTCATCCACGTGAGGAGGTTGAAAAGATAATTTAGTCAAACCTCGTGAGAAGTTGGCAAGATCAAATTTACCAAGATTCCCACTGCTGCCGCCATAAAGGCAAATTAACAGCCACTTGCAAAACAGAAGAACCAGGCTTGATGAAGCAGATCGAGCATCTGGGAGCTAAAGAGCTCACTGTCCATGGGATTCATCAGAGGAGCCAGGGGAAGGAGAATGGGAACTGAGGGGTGTCTGGGTCCAGAAGAGGTGCCCTTTCAGATCCCCTGTGTCTCTTGAATCCAGGGGCAGTGTTTCCCAAGGCTGTTGCGTGTAGCTTTCAGATCTCAACTGTCAGAAGAGTGAGTACTTGGAAACAGTTATTGACATGCAAATTATACATATGACAGAGATGCTCATTAGACTGCCAAGAAGCATACCCAGAAACAGGATGTTACAAAAGAGAGAGAAGACCGGGGGAGGGGAGGAGGACACAGAATTTCTGGGAACAGTGAGTTTCTATTCACGGGCAGACTGATGAACTGGTAGCTAGCAGAAAGGCCGGTCTGCCCTTGAGCATGTTGCCTAAAGAGTTTAAGAAAGAAAAATTCTTTATATTTTCTCTGAAGACTCTTGAGAATTTAACTGTGGCGTCTGGATGACAGGCTGTCACTATGTTATGTCTACCAATGGCCTTCATTTAGTGCCTGAACCAACTCAGAGCCGTTCACCTCGTCCCCATTTTTTCAAGTTTTTTTAAGCAATATGAATGAAATGCAAAATAATTTCGTATTTTTTATATAGATGGTGTGGCATATTTCTGTATCCAGACCTGGTGAATACAGGTCTAGATTATTTAATATATTGAATTGCTTGTTTGCTTCACTGCAAAGAAACTTGACACTGAGGTTTTCCTTGAACATTGTAATTGGCACTGTCCTTTAACTAATGGTTGCCTGCCATTCTAGGTGTGACTTTATCAACTTCTTAGCTCGAAACACGAAACTTTTTTTTTTAATCTTTGGCATACAGAAAGACCTGGCATAATTCACATTTTGAAATGAATTTTTGTTATCTAATTTGTGTGTGTAATGGATCACCAGAAATCATCCAAGATTTACTAATGTATTTTCATATTGGTGACAGGTGTTCTAGGAAGCGTTTAGTATATGAGGGTGCTGTTCATCTTAGTTGTGGCTGTTCTGAATTAATTGTGACAAGCTAATAAGATCTTTTGAAAGTTTTTTCCCAGGCTTCTTGAGCTAATGTTTTCCCTCTGGCCAGTGGGGTAGACTGCACATTATTTTTGATACTCTTCTACGACATGCGAGTAGTTACTGTTCATTTAAGCCAGATGGCACGTGTCAACTCCTTTTCCTGGAAAGGGAGAAGTTTTGGGGGTTGAGGGGCTGCTGTCGTAAAACCTTATGTGCTTTTTACGGAACTCGTCTTCCCTTTACGTAAACCCGTGCTTACCGGTTTCTACTGTGCTTTGAGTGCTCCTCTTTCGCTTATGAAGATCCTTAGAGGATTGGGCACAAATGTTTTTGTGTGTAAATTCTCTTTTTGCAGTTGTGCATTAGCAGATGATTATCGATGAGTTTATAGGAAACGAATACTGTTTTTTTCAGGATAAAAACAAAAACAAATAATTCATAAGACAAGGGGTGAGTGGCACTTTTGTCATTTTTCCAGTCCTCTCAAGCTGCCCATCATCAGAATCTGTGGGTGTTGGCCGGCTGTGAACAACACCCTTAATAACTATGTGTGGATGCTTGGGGAGCCCCGGAAAACCGCCCCGGCCGCCAGTCCCCAGGCAGCCGTCTTCTCTGCATCAGCACCATGAGTTCCGGCTCTTGGCTCTTAATGTGCAGAGTCAATCACCACCTTACACTGAATTTCATTTTTTTTTCAGTAAAATTTTTATTTTTTCAGGACGTCCAGGTAGGTGGATGTTGAATTCTACAGGCATTTGGTTTTCATTCTTCCTGATTAAATTCTAAGCTGCTTAACTTCAGTGACACTATTTCTTTTATCTTCATGTTCATAACTAAGAATTTGGGTGTGAATTTGGGCATTTGATAAAGTGGCTTTTCTATTTCCTGGTTTTCTTGGTAATTAATTTTAAAAGTATGTTTTACTGGAATTCTTAAAAGAATTTTTATCTTTTCAAGGTGTTGACTTTAAGGTGAAAACAATTTCAGTGGATGGAAATAAGGCTAAACTTGCAATATGGGTAAGAATTTTTAAAATGTATACTGCATAAATATTAAACTTGTACTTTTTGAAGAAGCAGAAATTGTTGTGTATACTGTTCTAGAGGTGAATGAGCAATTTGTGTTAAATAAGTTGGGAGATTTAATGTTGATTAAAGGCTAAATAATAAATAGTTAATCTGTAATCAGGCAGACACTTTTACTTAAAAATTTAAAATATATAATCCCTTCAGAGTATTTGAGAACAGAACAGAATATTAAAAAAGATCATCTTGTTTGCCAGAGAGAATCATTGTGATTGAATGTGTTGCTTTCAAGTTTTAAAAAGAGCCTAGACTGAACTAACACTAAAGGCAGTTACCGGGGAGAAGGGGGATGAAGTGATACTTTAAAAAATTACTTTTCATCTTTGTTAGTATAAATATTTATAAAATCTGAATTGGCCAGCTTTGGACTTTTAAAAAAATACTGATGCCCAGTCTTAGGCTTCTTTTCATTTGCCTATACACCCAGCCCATTCTGATCCACATTCATTGCTAACTCGACCTCTTCCTGGTAGTGCTGAATAAGGCAGCCTTAGCTATAAAACATCCAGGATGCTCAGTGTGTGTCAGTCTGCCGTGTTCCCCGTCTCTCCTTCCTTCCCTCCTATGTCTAAATATGATTGCTAGATATTAGATACATTGCATATATAATTTATAAAAATATACTCATGTATCTAATTCCCACATATACCATAAATTTATTTTTGTAACATATGATAATATTAGAACTGGTCAACAGTCATCAGATTGTGATGATGCAGTGTGGCAGTTCAATAGCAGATGCTGTCTGGGTATCAGTTCCAGGTTGAAACAGCAAGTGTTCTTGCACGTATGATCTTACTCATGTTGATGGCATGCTCTGAATGGCATACTGTTTCTAACACACATTTTATTTCAAATAACAAGTAACTGTGTGTGCCTTATGTTTTTCCTGTTAATCTTTTTCTAATATACAATACTTTACATGATTGGTTGACTATTTGCCCCTTCCCCAAAATATATTTAATACCAGTCAGAACAGTAATGTGTAACAGAAAACGATTTGAAAAATGTTGGACTAGACCATAATAAAATATATTGAAGTTTAAGAATGCCGGCTTCTTTTTGTAGTAAAGTGGGGCCTGATTTTCCATGTGCTTTTTGTGCTTGATTTATTGCCTTGTGAAATACGTAATTCAGAGTAGGACTGAGACTTGATGGTTACCATGAGGTCTTACTTTTGCACAAGAGATTTTTTTGTTTGTTTGTTTTTAATTTACTTTCTAGTTCCTGCCCAATAAAAAGGCTGTCAGGCATTATTGAAGTAACATTTTTATCATAGACCTATAAATGTTTTTTAAATAAGAGAGTTTCCTCCTGACAGTAGGATAATACAGGCTCATTCTGAAAAGGGTAATTGAAGCATTATAAAATTAATAGGGAAGAAAGTTCATTTTTAACCAATGTCTACATTTTAGTGAACACCCTCAAAAATATCTTAGACACATGCATATTGTTAAACATACGTTTATATGCAGTTTTCTACAAGAATGGATTATATACTTTTTCACCTGCTTGTCGCTTGCCCCCCTTTCCCCCCAGCACATGCTGTATTCATTGTTCTGTGTCAGTGCACATAGAGGCACATCAATTTAAATGACCACCTGGCTGGACTGTAACTTAGTCAACCCATAGTGAAAGATATTTGCATTGTTAATAGTTTTTCACAAAGAACAGCAGTGCTCTGGTGAGCATCCTGATTTATACAAAATCTGTGTGTACTTGTCCAGTGACTTTGCAACGTGTGCTTAGAAGTGAAATCATTGGCTCAGAGAATGTGAAGATTTAGCATTGGGGTATAAGAAAAAGGCCTTCTGTACTATACGGTGTTAATCTTTCTCATTTTTGCCTGAGTAATAATTTTTGCACTTATATGTATGTGCATTTCTTTTGATTATCGAGTTTGTCTCTTATTTATTGATTATACTTTTAATGAATTTTCTTTTATATGCTTTGCCATTTTTACATTAGAGTTCATCTTTTTCATGATTAACATCTTTGTATAATAAAAATACTAGTTTTTTGTCATATTCCACATTTTTCCACTCTGTCACTTGTCTTGAGAATCTTAAGATAAATCCATGTTGATTGTACTGTGTATGTGTAATACTGTTATATGCTACATATCTCCCCCCCCCACAAGTTTGTCATTTACTTTCACATATTGTTTAGGATGAGTGTGTGTGTGTTGGGCCATACCACGGTTTCGGTGTTTGTGTGATTAGATGAGCTGTTCATGCATCTGGGTGTCACGTCCTAGTGGGGAAGGCCTTCTCACTCAGTGTTAGAAATATATGCATCTGTTGTTTTTTCTCATTCTTCTGTGGTTTTATTAATATACGTAAAATCAGCTCCTCTCCCACCTGCAAGTTCCTCCTAGAATCATTTGAGTAGAATGACAGGCAAGCACAGCCCCGCCCCTCTGCCCCTGAAAGTGCTGCGTTCACGTCACTATCTACCTGCTGCCTCTCAGGCTGTTTTTCTCTGCGTGTTTCCCTCATGTCAACTCCCCGCATGGTTAATGAGACTTTCTGGGTACTTCCCAGCCCTTTGTCCATTTCTGTCTTCTCCTGTCAGAAGATAAAACCAGAGATAGAAGCTCTGATTCTTTTTATTACAAAGATGTTGTTAACACTTACTGCAAATTCCTGCTTTAAAAACAAACAAGCAAGAACCTAACTTCTGACTATTTATAGATAAAAATTTTATATTTATAAATCCTGATCCAGCTGAGCTTCTGCCTGCCCCATAACAACACTCACATTTATAGCTGTGGACCTGGCAGTTAAGTTGACGTTTGATACACGCCTTCACTTTTCTTCAGCTTATTTTGCATTAGCAGACTGTGAACTTTTTATTAAAAGGCTGGATAGTAGATACTTAGTCCAGCCCTAAGGCAGGCCGCATGGCAGTACATAAGGGAATCAGGAAAACTTTAGTTAGTGAAAACATAGATGATGAAACAGATGGTGGGCTGAGGCAGCAGTTCGCAAACTGCTGCTTTGCATAATCTTAGGTACCTTGAAGGCACAGTCCAAGGATGGTAGAAAGAAGACAGAAGGAACCAGGCCCAGAGGAGACTTGTTGATTCATTTATTCTTTTCAACAAAAGTTGAGCACCTATCTAAGGCAAGAATTGCTGGAGGCTGAGGAATTAAACTGGTGATTAAGCAGATAGGGTTCCTTCCTTGGGAAATTCACATTTCCTACGAGTGTACCTCTTACATTCATTACTCCTGATGTGAATCAGAAACGTGGAATAAGGAGTTATTTGGGTTTTTTTGCGTTTTCCTGAAAGAAGATACTTAGAAAACATTTTAAAAAGTACAACCTAAAAACTGCTTACCTAAAATAAGAAATAGCCCTGTAATTCTCTTTAAATCACTGGTTTTCAACCTTGATTGTATGTTAGAATCACCTGGGAAGATTTATAAAACTTCTGTCATAGCCTAGAACACTGAAATCAGCATCTTTGGGAGCTGGATCTAGGCTTCGGTGTTCTTCAATTCCCAGGAAATTTTGTACAACCAGAGTTGAGAATCATTGCTTTCAGTGAAATGGGTTTCATGTGTGATAAAAATCTTAAACCCAAAATGGTAGAAAACCTATATACTTTGCTGCATTTTTCTATAGCTGATGCAGTATCTATTAATTTAATTTTTATGTAACACTAACAGTAAAAGAACACATTTAAATTTTAAGTTTATAAATGAGTTTGTGCATTGCTACTTTAATAATGCTGTTCAGCGTTCTTCTCTTAGTATGTTAAAGTCTATTATTTATACTTTGTTTTGTTTAATAATTGATTGTCATTTTTAGGATACTGCTGGTCAAGAAAGGTTCAGAACATTAACTCCCAGCTATTATAGAGGGGCACAGGGTGTTATATTGGGTAAGGTCTTACTTTAATATACTGTTTAAAAATATTGTTGTTTTATTACTGGAATTTCTGACTTTCCTTGTTTGTGAAGGTCAATTAAGTTTTTGTTTCACTTTTCTTTAGTGCTGCTTTTTATGTGACTTGAAGTTGCGTTAACTTCATGTAATATTAATGAGTATTTAAGCTTAAAATTTTGTTCCAGCCCTTTGTCTAGCAATTGGAAAATAAAGATCAGACTATAATTTATTTGATTTAAAAGCACATGTTGCTGATGACGTAACACGGACTAGTCTTGCCGTTGGTCTGGTATCCAAAGCCGATCTTCAATTAGGAGCTCATTCATACTCATTGCCACTCATACAGGTAGAAGAGTATTGGTTGTTTAGTGGGATCTGTTTTATTAGTCCTGAAAAAGTAACACAAAGCACTTAATACTGTTGACTTACAATCACACAGAACTTAAAAACCACATGTGGGTTCTCAGTATAATTTATGGCAAAGTGCTTGTTCTCAATATTCCCGGGAAACTGAATATTGATCAGTTGAAGGGAGAAATCTCTTTCTATATCATGACTTGTGAGGCTTTGGTTTGGCAGTGACTCTTTATAGTTTTGATTCAGGATCTAAGTTTAGAAAACACTTTAAATTAATAAGCTTTTTATTTAGTATAATGCAGAATGACACCAGGTGAAAGTGAAGACAGAGGAAGACAATCAGGATTCCCCCACTCTCTTTACATATTTTTTCAAATTTAAAATTCTGGTCCTTGTAAGAAACAGATAGAAAGAAATGAACAGGATCGTAGATTTTCAATTCATGTAAAAATTTTTTTTTAGTATTTTGAGACATTTGAATCTAAACACCTTTTGGGTTTTAGACACACCTTTTCTTTGTTGTTATTATGAATGGGGACAGCTGTTTTGTTTAAATTAATTTTCAGTTTTCACGCAGGATATAATTTCGTTTCTTTCACAGTGTGTGTTAATTCAGTTGAAGTGTGTGTTTATGTAAATGTATTTTTTAATACACTTGTATCTTCCATCTGAATCAGTAGACACTGATTTTTAAGCATTGAAAGCTTAAAAAACAGACTTGCCTGTATAGGCAAGTTAGTTAGTTCCTAGTTATATATCACTTAGTTAATTAGTTCCTAGTTATATATCAGAAATATAATGTCATTGTTTCTTACTTTTAATATTCATTTAATAAATGACTTTTTATTTCAGTGTATGATGTCACAAGAAGAGACACCTTTGTTAAACTGGATAATTGGTTAAATGAATTGGAAACATACTGCACGAGAAACGACATAGTAAACATGCTAGTTGGAAATAAAATCGATAAGGTAAGAAGTCAGACACTTAGCATTTTGGCTCTATATTTTGGTAGCTTTTCTTGATCTTTGCATTTATGTTTTAGGAAAATCGTGAAGTTGATAGAAATGAAGGCCTGAAATTTGCACGAAAGCATTCCATGTTATTTATAGGTAGGTGTGTGAATATTTATCCTTTCATTAATAATGTAGAGTTTGAAATGGAGTTTCTATTACATTCTTCTCCTTACGAACCGTACATTGTATGTATTTAGTTTATGATGTCTTATGCTGTAAAAGTAACTGTAGAACCTGGTTCCTTATATTTTCTTCTGCAAAAAAAAAAAAATAGAATCACATTATGTGAATTCATACAGAACACAGTCGAATCATTCCTCTCGGGATTGAATGGCCCTCAGTAAAGCCAGGCGCCCAGGCTGAAGTGTAAACTGGTCCATGTGCTCAGGGCAGTGGCACCCTCTGAGAGCTTGTTGGAAATGTTTCATTCCAGGCCCTAACCCAGATTTTCTGAGTTAGAGTCTGCATTTCAACATGACGTCCATGTGATTTGGATGCATGTTAATATTTGAGAAGCACGGTAGAGCTGGGGCGGGCCCCACTGCTTGTCCGGGAACACGGCATGCCCCGTCAGCTACGCATCGCCTGTGGCTCTTTCTGTGCTTTGTGGCAGAGTTCAGTCACTGCAGGGGAAACCATATGGCATCAGAGTCTAAACTATATACCCTCTAGTCCTTTCCAGAGGAAGTTTGTTGACCCCTTATCTCGCAAAGTGGACTAGCTACATCACCAGGGAGCTTTTAAAAATGACAGGTCCCTGGGCCTTATCACAGGTCTGAAACAGGGCCTAGAAGGCAGTTTATAAAAAACACCGTGGTTGATTCTGATATGAAGCCCGCTTTAGGACTTACTGAGTTAGCTCTCCTGTGTTGCAACCTATTGGGAATCAGGAAATGGAAGTGAGAGAGCATCACATTAGACAGAAGAGGAGTGGTGTAAATGGAAGGCACAGGGAAGGTTAGACAGGAACTGAGTAGTCCTTCTGCCACTTACTTGCTGGGTGTCCTTCATGTTTTATGTCAGTTTGTTCAATTAATATCTGTTCAACACTGTGGATGTAACAGTGAACAAAGTGGCCCAGCTCCTTGCCCTCATGGAGTTTACATACCAGAATGGGAAGCAGACTTATGTAAGTAAGTAGTACCATGATGGAAATAAAGCATTGTAAGGGGAGAGGAAATGACCAGGGTGGTAAGTAAAAGTTCTTTGAGAGAGTGCCGTTTGAGCAAGAATCCATCACAAAGGTCTAAGGGACAGCGTCTGAGGCTGAGAGAATAGCGGATATTTCCTGAGGTAGGAACCAGTCTAGTGTGTTTAAGAAAGAGGAAGAAAGCCTGTGGGCTGGAGCATAGTGTGTGTGGGGAGGAGGATAGTGATGATGGGAGAGGAGATTTTAAAAAGTCATGTTGGACCTTTTAGGATTAAGAAGCGAATTTTATCCCAAATGTTGTGGAAAGTAAGGGAGTACTTTAAAAAGTCTTTTAAAAGACTCAGTTGTGTAGAAAACAGACCAAGGGAAGCAGAAGCAAGAGGCTAGTTTATCTTACAGTGGCCCCGGTGAATGCTGCTGGTGGCATTGACCATGGTGGCAGTAGTGGGTGGAGGAAGTTGGACGATCCTGGAGATCCTTGGATGGCTGTGCTGACAGACTGAGGGGGAGGGTAAGGAAAGGGAGCACAGGTAACTTGGAGTCTCTGGCTTGAGCAGCTCGGACTGCACTGCCCTGGCTGGGCTGGGGAAGACTGAGACAGGAGCAGGTGTGGGTCGGGAAGGAGGGAATCAGGAACAAAGTGTGTTTCAGACAGCCAGTGGCCATGCTGGCCATTGGCACTTAGGTGGCGTTTAAAGCCATGGGATTGGGGCGATCCCTACAGGAAGACCTGGAAGACAAGAGCTGAAGACTGAACTCCAGGCTACTCCAGCAATTAGACATCAGCAGAAAGAGGAGGTGCCAGCAAGTAAGGCTGCGAGTGACATGCCAGTGAGGGGACTACCCAGAAGTGTTCAGTGTCCTGGAAGTCAAGTGAACAAAGAAAATGATCAGCTGTATCAAATGCTGCAGGATGTCAGATAAGATGAGGACGTTGGATTTGACAACTGGGAGGGTGTTGGTAGTCTTAAAAAAAATCAGTTTCCATGGAATGGTGGGGAATAGAGTAGGCTGAAGAAAAAATTTGAGATAAAATGGAAACAACTTGTATAGTTCACTCTTTATGACAGTTTTGCTTTGGAAGGAGAGTGGAGAAACTGGGTGGCTCCTAAGCAGGGTATGTGTGCTGGAAGGCAAGTTCGTTGGTTGGTTTGGGTGGGTGAGTGGTTGCTTAATAAGATGGACAATAATTTTGGTGGGCTTTTAAGCTGATTGTTATAATCCAATAAAGAGGGCACATGATCCTTCAGTGAATGAGAAGGGATGGGATCTCAGGAACTAGACAAAGGGTAGGGGGCCTCAGACAGCAACCGGGATGGTTTTCCCATTGCAACAGGAGTGAAGGCAGAGCCTGCAGATAAAGGTGCGAGTGGGTTGGTAAGTCTATGAGAGGTATGATCCATAGTTCTTGTCAGATTGTTTCTGTTCTTAGTGTAGAGGAAGACCATCAGTTGAGTAAGAGGAACTTCAGGATGAAGGCATAAAATAGCCATCTCAGATGGGGAGAAAGGTAGTCAGTAGGAATGTAGGGTGGGGGAGCAGGGCTGTGTGTCCACAGAAGTTTCCTGAGCAAGAATTTAAATGACACCAGTGTTGATGGTTGTGTATCATTTGTCCAACCACCTGTAGCTGCTTGGTTGCAGGCACAGAACAACCAGATTAATTGGTTTAACTTGGAGCCTAAATTTCCTTGTTCTAAAATGGGAATAATATTTCCTTCGGGGGCTAATTGTAAGAACTAAACGAAAAATTAAGGAAAGAACTTTGGCACAATATTTGAGTAAGGTTTTAAAATTTACAATTCTATCACAAAATCTGGGGCTTGTATACCACTAGTCTTATGGATAGAATTTAAAGAGCTCAACTTTGAGAGTTGTGGGTAATTCACTAACATTAAACCTGTGGGGAGAAATTTGGCTCCTTATATATTGTTGACTGATACTTCTGCCGTAATAGTTTCCTGGAAAACCCTAGGATATGACCAGAAGAGAATGCACTCCCACAACTGTGCTTGAATTTCAGAGGCAAGTGCGAAAACCTGTGACGGTGTACAGTGTGCTTTTGAGGAACTTGTTGAAAAGATCATTCAGACGCCTGGACTGTGGGAAAGTGAGAACCAGAACAAGGGGATGAAGCTGACACACAGGGAAGAAGGCCAAGGAGGTGGGGCCTGCGGCGGCTACTGCTCTGTGTTATAAACTCTGGGAAGTGCCATCTCTTGCATATTTGATCGGATAGTGACATCTTTCTGTACATAAACTCTGTAACTGCTATTCTAGGGACCTTGCGGTTTGCACATACTTGTTTTGTATCATGGCAGTAAATACTTGCGAGAAATCCCACTCACCGACTTTCCCAGGTAACACGTTACGGTACGGCATGCACAGTCTGCAGTTTTTTATGTAGCATAAGATAGGTGTACCTTTATAAGTACATTTGATTTTATGATTTACATTCATCATGTGATTTAAAAAACCCACCTATCTAGTGTATGTTGGTCCAAGGTCTACTCTTGGCCTCCTTTTCGCTTCAGTCCTCCTGTCAGTTACTGACGAATCGGTACACAGCACTCCCAGGCCCACTGGGAGATAAGCAGATGTCGCCAAGCCTGGCCGGTTTCCCTTCAGGAATAGCAAAGAGCATGCTTCTACAGCTTCTCTAGGACGCTTGCTAAAGGGTCTCTTCTAGTTGTGAGCAAGATTCTCTTGATAGGTCGCAGTCCAGTCCAATTTATAATTAAATCTCTGTTCTGATGATGCTTCTAAAACCGCATTTATATGTTAAAGAAGCTTGGTCTTACTTTAAATTTACTTCATTGAGTAGCTCAGTTGCTTAACTGGTGTTTTAATTCTGTGATTTGTACGTGGGCTTCATGACCATTGTTGCGGGATTTCCATTTACGTGGTATTTGGCAGAATGGCAATAAGGTCTCCTCCCATTTCGGTTTTGGAAGGACAGCAATAGTGTGTTTTATGTAATTCATGTAGTACTTAACACTTTAAAAACCAACGCCTTTTCCTGTGAACGTTGGTGGGGTTTGTCCAGGTACCTCGGTGGTAGCTTGTATAATGTTAATGAATGTCTGTGTCCTGTGACTTCCGTAAATGGCTAGTTGATATTCATAAACGTATTTCTGCATTTTGAGGGTTGGGGGTAAAAACACTAAACTGTAATTTGAGAAAGGCATATTGCTTCAGATTTTCACTCTGTGGGAAAGTACTGTTGTAATGGAAATCTTGGCAACTCACTGTAACGAGCAGTCAACAGATTATCAAAACCAACTTGTACAGACTAATAAACCTTTTCCACAGCATTCAGTTTTCTAACCTCTTGCTATTGTATATTGTAGATTTTTTTTCATTCGTATGTTATTTAATTTACACTGATCTCTGCTCTTTTAAACCCCCAGATAAGTAATTTGTCCTTTCAGGCAGATCACTCTTAATACCCATCAGTAAGATTAATAAGAAATACTCATTTCTGGGCAGTTTGTTCTCTGTATACAATTGCAAATGATAAACATTTTTGTGAGTCACCTTTGCAATACGTGTGATAATTGAGTTACTTCAAGTTGGGTTCTTTCTGAAATGTACATCTTCATATGAGAAAACCTCACATTCTACATGCTTCACACTTGTTAGACTATGTTACATGTGATTAAAGGTTTAATACATTATGTATGTTTAACTGTTAAACATATATACTTTAATGTTGGAGAAAGATAGCTAACACATGTACTTACGATTTGTTGTTACATTAAAACTGTAGATTTGTATATTTATGTACACATTTGTGTAGTTTCTATATTGACAAGACATTTCTGTTTATTGCTCTTTGCTCCTTGAGTTATATAATAATCTTTCTGTGCATTGGATTGTCTTGATTTGATCAGAATTTGGATACATATGAGTCATTTAACTTTTAAAAACCAATTTTGTTTGATAGATTTATATTGTAACTTTTTACAGTTTTTGAATAAATATAGCCTGCTTTCCCTAGATGCATTTGTGCAGGAAGTGTTATACATTTCCCTACTACTCTCATCAGCTGAGGAACTCCTGAGTGTAATATTCAGATTCTGTTAACTATTCTGTTATTGTTGTTACAAGCTTATTTCACAGCATAGGTTTCTTAAGCGCAGTAATAGTGATACCTAAAATTAGTCACTTAAGTAACAGAATTTTGTCGTTTCTCTGTTTCTCCAATCATTTGAAGTCGTTTTTAAAGTGCCTTTTACAGATAGTGCAAATGAGAGCAATTAGAATATAGTATTTTGAGTTCTAGAACTACTGACATAGACCTAAATCACACAAATAACTGCTCAGGTTATATTAATAGCTGACATTTATTGGAAGCTCTCCTGGTGTCAGGTGCTGTTCCAAGTGCTGGATCACCTCGATCAACCTCACAGCACCTGAAGAGGTCGGTTGGTGCTGCAGTTATGCCCGTTTTAAAGATGAGATGAATGAAACAGATACGTTAAGTAACTTCCCAAGGTTCACAAAGCTGATCGGTGATGTCAAGGCGTTTTCACTCCCGCGTCCACGCTCATAACCACCGCTCCCTTTCTGTGGCTAGCTGCCAGCTTTTTGCTTTAGTATGGCCCGTGTATCATTCTTTGTTCTGTGTAATAGGCATTTACAACCTGTAAGTTATTTCAGGTGTTTTGGTTATAGAGTCAATCCCACTGATGTAAACCAGCCATGTAAGTCATTTGACCTAAAAGTTAAGGTGGTGGAGTAGGTGGTCTCTTACTTCTGTTTTCTCACGGTGGAATGAAAATCCTTGACTTAGAAAAGATACAAAGTCAGGGGACTTAGGGCACCTTAATTTCCTGTTCGTAATTGGACATGAGAAAATATATTAAATCTGGAAACGGCCTTTTTCTCAAAATTGAAATCTAGGGGATGTTTGCATTCGGAGAACTCAGTTGCCATCTACAGAATCACACCTGACGTTGGCTTGCTAATTGAATGCAGTCGGATTGGAGTTAATTTTTGGTTCATTATAGTTTGCACACTCAGGAAGTAGCCATGATTCTGTTCTAAGTGTGGGACTGGCTCCGTAGGTCCTAAGAGACTCCCTGTGCCACGACTGACTCTCCCTGTGGGATGGCACACACCTACCTTGGATCTGTAAGATCTATAAATACAGGTTAGTGTGTATTTTTTCCTAACTGATTTTCAGGTGAACTGGGATAATCCTCTAGGAACTGTAGACAGTAGGTCTTCTCCGTATTCAAGCATTACGCTTCTCTATCTTGGGGTCCACCAGCCATTCCTAGGAAGAGTTTGTGCTTCATGTATCTTCCCTTGTAGACATAGGAGTCAAAGCATTTAATCACTTTTATAAGATATTATGCTAGTTCTGACCCCAGCTGTGCTGACGGGTGTCAACTATAGACTTCATGCTGGATTTTGTCTAGAAATGTTGAAAGAAGAGAACAGAAAGAAATAGGCAAAGTCAAGACTTGGAGCAAAGGAATGATTTACTCAGGATTCTTATTTGGGAACCTCGATCAGGTTGGAGAGAAAATAATGTAGACAACTTTTGTTACATTTTAGGGCTTTAAATTTTACTATTTGTTGCTGGGTTGGTTTTTTTTTCCTCCATATTTAGGAATCAGTAATGTTTCTGACTATGGTGTAAGTTTGCTTCCGTGCGTCTTAGTTCCAGCTCTTTTGTCACGTGTTTCCATTAGTGCGAGCTTCTGCTCTCAGTCCTTCCCCCTCACCATCTCTCTCACACAGAGTTTTTCTTTTTCTTTTTATATTAACCTGATAACAAGTTATGGGATTTTATTTGTATTTCTTTGATGACTAGTGGGGTTGAGCATTTTTAATATTTTATTGGATATTTATATTATTTTTTTATTCCTTGCTGACGTGTGTTGTGGTTGCCTATCCACATCCACTTTCTTTTCTCACAGTGCTGCGCATTTTTTCTTTGGACACCTGTCCCCCATCACCACACATGCAGTTTGGATGGGATTGTCACACCCTCAGCTCTAGAGCTGGCCTGGTTATTATTAACCCATGCCACTCCCCGCAACTCCCCGTAGTCAACGGCTTGGGGATGGGCACCTGGCCCACGTCAGGCTACTTAGTTACAGGATGTTTACTGAGGCTTCCTTAGGAGCTGCGGGAGAAGACACCTTCTTGGAGATAGTGTGGTGTGAGGATTCGTACTCTGAACTTGCTGCGGCCAGTTTTTCTAATTTAAAGGAGCCAGTCTGAGGCAGTACCAAGAAAATGAAAAGGAGTCTTAAGTTGAAGCCTTGATGCCATCTGGAGCCTCTGGATCAAACTGGACCTGAAGTTGGTGCTATTTCTGGACTTTGCATTTCTGTGAGCCAGTAAATTCCATTTTTGTTTAAGCCAGTTCAAGTTGGATCTTTCCTTGTAACCACATGTGTTCTGTCTATGGTCTTGTAGGGGCTGTTTGTACGTTGAGTTTGATATGCTGATGACTGTCACTTGAAAAGCCATTATTCTTACGTGACTGTTAATATTTTAGTGAGGTTACTTTCATGTATTTCTTTGTGGAGAAACATACATATAAATGAGCTTTTTGTAGATGTAATTTTAAGGACTCCTTATTTTATAGGGTCTCATGGGTTTTTGTTTGTTTGTTTCTATTTTGGTTTAATAGGAAAGTCTATATAACAATTTGCAAGTCTACTAGCAATATGTGAGGGTGTCAGTTTTCCCCTGGCATTCTCCGTCAGCAGCAGGATGTGTTCTCAGATTTTTGCCACTTTGATGTTTATAAGGTGTTCGCTTACTTTAGTTTGCGTTTTCTGCAGAGCATTTTTCATGTTTATAGGCTGTTTGGAGTTTCCCTTTTTTGAAATGATTATTCATATCTTTTGCCAGCTTTTCTGTTCAGTTTTTTCCTGGTTTTATTATGTTACATGAGCTTTTTGTATGGTATGGATAATAACCTATATACGTATGTTTCAAGCATTTGTTTCTAACCCGATGTTTGTTGTTCAGTTTGTTTATGCTGTGTTTTTTTATAACTCATTTAAAAATATTTCATACCTTTTGGCTTCCTCAGCTCTTCAACTGTACATAACAGCACCCTTAACCTCTCCTGAGATTTTTGTTTTATTTTTTCTTTTAAATCCTTAATAACTTGGAATTCACTTTTGCTTATGACGCAAGGTAGAGAGCCATCTTGTCCTTCATAGGGTGGCCAGTTGGGCCAGAACTGCATATTGAATAAATGTTCTTTTCCCCACTGGGCTAAAATAACACTTTTGCCCTAGATGAAATTCCTGTAAGTACTGGAATTGACTTAGGCCTTCTTCACCTTGGAAGGTTGTGAATTTCATTGTAATTGGTTTTCTTTAATCCCGTGTCTTTCAGTTTTGCTTTAAAGAAACATTCTTAGAAGGGCTTAGTGAGTTTCAAAAGACTGCTGCAAGAGGGCTGGAGAAACAGGTTTTTGGTGATACTGGCTTACAGTGTGTTTGTGGCTGATAAGGCAAGTCCTTTCTCACTCTGTTTCAGTTTGGTGTTTTTACATGAGTCTTTCACTATATTCTTTGCCTATTTTTCCTTTTTGTGTTTCCTTTTTTAAACAGAGGAGTTCTTTCTAAAATGTGATGGGGATACTAATCTTTTCTCAGTAATATCTGTTGCTGAAGTCTTCTCCCAATTAGTGGTTTTGAATTTGTTTGAAATACTGCATAACTTAAAAGTTTTTTAACTAAAATTTTAATCATTTTAATCAATTTGTAAAAGCTGGGATTCTAGTTGGAATCACATGATAAATATTTCTACATTAATTCTGAGAAAACCAATAATTTAATGATAAGATTTGCCATTAGGAAATGGGATGTCTTTCTGACCATTCAGATTGTATACTGTTTTTTATTTTATAGTTTTCTTTACATAGGTCCTGAACCTTCTTTTTAAAAACTTATTCCTGAGAACTTGTTTTTCGCATTAGTGTGAGTAGAACTGGTTTTCTCCTTTTAGAATCTGTGTAGTTGTTGCTAATAAGGAGAAGCTATTGACTTTCCTCTGTATCCAACTGACTGATCCGTTTGGTGCTTTGGATTAAACTAAGGTTTCTTTAGTTTTCTAGGTAAAATAGAAAAAAATAATTTGTAATTTTAATATATATATTTGTTTGGAGGAAATTGCAGCCATCTGTTGTGTTTCTGATATCATTCTGAATCTGTTTCCTGACAGACTGTTGGGAGGAAACTGTTCATTTCACAACCGCTGCTGAGATCTGCACACGCCGGCCGTGGGTGAGGCAGCTCACGGCACGTGCGGCTCCCCCGGGGCCAGGGCCAGGGCTCTTCCTGGATTCCCATAGGCCAGGCTCGCCCCAGCGTCTGCCTCTTTCCACTGTTCCCCATTTGTAGTAACAGTGAGACTGGACCCTTGTTTCTGTTGTTGCGAACTTCATTTTTTTTTTTTTTGCAAGATTCATAAAACTGAGGAGATTCTTTTTCTACATGCTGGAATACTTTATTTTAAAAATGGGTATTGCCTGTTTGTTGGAAGTTTCCTAGAAGTGAGTAGAGCATAATGTTCAGGAGTGTGGCCTTGGGACTCAGAGTGAACTCATACCCCAGCTCAGTTTTACTGCTGTGTGATCTTGGGCCCGTTACCTAACCTTCTTGGGTCTCAGTTTCTTCATATTAAAAATGGGACAGTAATAGTCTCAACAGTCTGTAGGGTTGTTCTAGGCATTAAGTGAGGAATGTAAAGGCTGACAGCGCATTTCAAGTAAGTGTTAGCTGTTATATTAGCATATTGTGGTTATTGGTCTTCTCAGTTTTTCTATTGCTCCTTAAGTCAGTTTTTATAATTCACACAGAGGAAACAAAGTGGCTTTTTTTTTCCTTTTGAGGTTTAAATTTTTTTCTGGACCAGAATTGTATATACTCACTCAAAAATTATTTTTCTAAGGTTGTAGTTTCTCATTCCATGTGTGTATATATGTATTTTTCTTTCGCAGGTAGTTTGTGTGGTCTTTTTA